GTTTCGTTGCGAAATGTTGTAAAATGCGGATAATATAGCCTTGCGAAGTTTGCCGTTTTTCAGTCATTTTGTATTACGCACGGGAAATTGACAGCCCAATCGGGTGTTGGGGCATCAATTTCCCGTTTGTAATACAAAAGTCAAAATGACTGAAAATCGCAAATTTCGCAAGGCTATATTATCCGCATTTTACAACATTTTGGAATGAAACTTTGGTATATTACTAATTTTGTGATGCTCTTTCAAGCTGTGATGAAATGTTTGTCTAGACCAAAATTTAGTCTATATAATGCAAATGGTCCATTACGCAACAACGATACACTGTATCACTATTAAAGATCACACATATACTTCAAACTTTTACAAGACCACAACGGTACAGTGAGTGCGGACTGTCCAGTATGTGAAAACGCGAGCAGGAGTGCTTTATCAGATACAAAACACTTGAGCGCACAGTTCGAATGTTTTATCTGATAAAGCACGGACTTTTAAATGGCTAGTAAACATAAAAGCCCGGTTCACATATACCTACTTACACCTGCGGTATGTCGGCGGGCTATTGACAGCAACTGCTCTGAAAAGCTGTGAACAATGATAGCGCAGGCATACCGCAGGCATATGTGAACCAGGCTAAAGAAAGAGTAAAGTAAAGTGCTTAGCTGATATTTTACTTCGCTTGCATATACTTCTTCACCAAATTGCCTTTCTTTTGATTTTACTGAAGCGAAGTCGATCGTTTAAGAACTGAATTTCGAACAACATGGTTACATGGTCATGGAGCAAACTGCATCCAAGGACGTCAAATTAATTAAAGCCACGTTACTTCGAAAACTACAGGGTATATCAAAAAACCTGCAAACACTATAATTTGCATAATTCTGCTGCTAACCAGCATTTCAATGTACAGGGTGTCTCAAAAAAACCCAAAATCATTGAAATAACGTATTGTTCGAATTTCAATGCCGTAACACAAAGGATTTTGACAGGGTGATTAATTTGTTTTAAAAAATTAAAATATCTTTGTAAAGTGAACGTTTGTTTGCTCATGGGAATTTAAAAATGCTTCGTAAATTGTAATATGCGTAATATGCATTCGTGGGTTTAGTACTTTATGCCCGACATAACAAGTTTACGCTGAGTATTACCATTCATTATAGCAGTTATGTCAATCTTTTATGCACTCGTGGGATTAACTTAGTGCTAGGGCATTGAATATCGAACAATACGTCAATTTCAATGATTTTGGGTTTTTTTGAGACACCCTGTATGTGCTACTTATTTTGCTCCTGGGATTTGAAAATACATTCTAACTAACCGCGTTGATAGAAATTAGCATAACAAAAAGCTATTTGTTACGCAAAAAACTAATTATCAGTTCGACTGCGAATGGGTCAACTATTGTGTTTACGCATGCTTGAGATCAATTAGTTCTGAATCATGCAAATTCTAAACACATTGTACAGGGTGTCCCAAAAAAACGAAAACTATTGAAATCAGCAATAACAATTTAATTGTTAGAATTTGAATGCCTTAGCGCTCTGTTGGTTCCCACGGGTGCATAAATTATTGACATGAGTAAATTTTATGCATAAAGAAACTGTTTAAAAAGCTGTTTTTAATTCCCAGGAGCAGAAAATCGCGCACTTTACCAGGAGATATTCCTAACTAAATTCTAATACATGCACCTTGTCAATATTTTAAGCATCATTACGTCCAGCTGTTTGGTAGGGTATTCAAATTTAACAATAAGTGATTTCAATAGTTTTCGGTTTTTTTGGGACACCCTGTACTTCAAAGGTTTCCAGGTTTTTTGATGCACCCTGTAGAGTTGAGGACAAACGAAAGCATGATCAAAATGCACATACTTCAATCCCATGCACAATCCTACTGACTTGCTCCTGGTTGCGTTGCATGCTCGAACAATGCACATGCATAAATTAAATTATGTTGTGTATACGTGTACAGTATAGAGTATGCTTTTTGGCAGCCAAAGTACATTTAATTAACCCATGAAATAGCACGCAAAGCAACGTTCTTTTAAAACGCCATGCTATAAACATAGTTGGCATATATAAGTTGCCAGACTGTTCATGCCATGTCTCCGTGTCAATTACCTTATTGTCAAATCATATTCAAACAAAACGTCTACAACCTAAACCCTATTTAAATTATAGCAAAGTGAAACTGATGGACAATAATTGATTCGCTTTTAATACTTGAAATGAACGCTTTCAGACGTGCAAATACAATGTTGATTTTACTGCTAAGTGCTAAATGAAATAATAAAAGACAAAAGAAAATAAGGCGAGGAGCACAAACGCATAAATTCGCTTTTCAAGCGTTATAAATTGTTTGTAATAAACAAATTCGGTATATATAGTGTAAGACCAGCCAAAAATCGACAGACCAGACATACAATGAAATACAAAATACACCAAAAGAACTGCATCGTTACCGGCTTATATAAACTGACTAATGAGTAATGAGATTCCCCGTATTTATAGCATCATGCATGCAAAGCATTCTGGTCGGCTAACCGCAATGCATTCTGGTCGATGAACAGCAGAGTATTCTGGTCGGAGAAACGGAAGTAAAATCTTACTTTCAGAGCCCAATACGAATTAGAACTGCTGACTTGCTCGCTCGCTTCAGGCTCGCTCGCTGCGTCAGCAACTATTTCATCATGTATGGAGAAATTGTGCCAAATCTATTGTATAAAAGATTCCTTTGATAGAGACACTAATGCTGATTATTCAATCATTGCAGTTATGAGCAAAATATATTACTGTTCTACTGTCTGGACCAATACGTCATCGGTAAACATTAAGAAGCTACAATCGGTACTGAACTTCGCCGCCAGAATTATTACGAGTACGCGAAAATATGAACATATAATACCTGTCTTGAAAGACCTAAACTGTGACATTTAATTGACATAAAAAAAACTAACAGTGACATTTGACTGTGGTATTTACCTGTGACATTTGACCTTAACTATATATGACATTTAAGTGTTTAAATGGAGCCACCTTCTTACCTTAGTGATAAATTTTCCCAACGCACTACTGTCCATGACTTAACCCAGGAGGGAGGGGAGGTTGGTCAGACATGCACATGGAGAATGGTTAGACCTGTAATAATATACTTAAAATAATATACCCAAAATTATTGTGGGAAATAGCCAGAAGTGCACTTCCGGACTTGTTAATTTTCAACATTCCCCCCCCTCCCCCCCCAGGAAGGTTAGGGTCATCTCAACACGGGCTCCCCAATCGTAAAATCGCTGTGCGGTCCCTGCCATAAGCTAGCCGATCAGTTTGATATATTTCCATGATACACGATCGCTAACAGAATGTTAACTAGAAGCAGTTCCCAGCTGCATGTAACTCAAATTATGTAAGTTAGCATTCTAGCGATTTATCTAAATTTACTTTTATTAACTTAATTTACATTTAAGAATCAATAGTGATCGGCCATGCAAAGGAGCAGTGCAAAAAATTTTGAATCGAAATTGTCAGTAAAATATTGCACCCACATGCAGTGACCGAAAATTTTGAGTAAAGCCCCGATCAAACTAGTCAACACTATCATACATTCTCTATTTAAGTTAAGAATAGTTGGAACACTTTCATTGTGTTAATTTAGAGATTCCTAGAATAAAATCCAATCCTTAAACCCCTAGCTTTACAATTTTTATATGTTTGTATTTCAAGGTCCTCTCTGCCTTCCTGGGTGAACCTCTTCGGACTGAACCTCAGCTCTTTAAGCACACAATGTTCATCTTGTAATGCATTACGTAAATCGGGTATACATTTATCTGTTACTGAACACCCGGACAGGTACAACGTCTCAGGGTTACAATGCTCTTTTCTTAAAGCAGATTCACACAGCATATGTAAACCTTCATTACTTACATCTTTATTACCTGAGAGCGTCAAAACGGTCAGGTTGCAACGTTCGTCTGTAAGTAGGTCACACAAGGAGGGTATACATTCATCAGTTAGTGAACAATAACTAAGATACAGCTGAGTAAGCGTAAATAGGTTGTGTTCAATAAGAGCGTTGCACAACACTTTTACACCCTCATCAAGAATGCCATTAAAACGAAGATCCAGTAGTGTGAGTTTTGGACAAAGTTCACTGTCAAGGACTTCACAAAGTTTGGACACCCCACGAGCAGTTATTTCATCACTCACTAGGCGTAAACACTGAAGACATCTTGCATGTCCACTCATAAAGAACTCACATATGGTGGATAAACATTGCTCGGTTATGTGACAATATTGAAGTGCCAACCAGGTCAACTTACTGTGCTCGTGATTCTGGATACACTTTGAGTTCATCAATGTTAGAAATACATGGTTCACGGCCAAGTAACTGCTGCCAAATCCTTTGACAATCAATGTCAGTTTTTTTATGCATCTTTGCTGTAGCAATTTTATAACTTCAAGATGACATTGTTTACTTGAATGAGACAGATCCAGATCTAATGCCGATAGTTGTTTCATGTGTTTGCAAACGAAAGTCACTGCTGCCCAGTCACTTGAGGTAAAGCCGTTTAGGGCATTATCTGGGGGAGCGTATATTAGACTCACGTCATTCATCGCAGTTGTTTTGCAAGCATTTTTAACAACGTCCTCATTATCCGTTTCTCTCAAACATTTTATTACAAACACTGAACTGTTAAGGTCAAGTTTACCATCAGCGACAGTCAACAAATTGATAAACGCCAAAACACAATCCTCGTAGTGATTTCTCTCAAACATCTTTAATTTCTTGCCCAAAAGACCAGCAATAAACCGAAGGACTAAATGGCATTTACCACTTTCAATATTAAAGGTGAGAAATTCCCTTATTTCTTTGGAAGCAAACGTTTCAATCACGTGCTTTGCAGCAAGAAATTCTTGTATAGTTAAATGAATGAAACAATATTGTGTTTGAATTGGAAAAATGGAGTTAGATAAACAGTTCAACAGACCTGATCTGTTCATTTGAGTATCAATCAGTTCGTCATTGAAAACTAATTGTCCACGTACAATTCCTTCGTATGCATATAATTGAAGTTTCTTCATTGCTTCCACAGAAGACGGTCCGTTTAATTTTCTGTGATGATGTTTATCAAAATACGTTACGGCTGCATCATAAAGTTCAGTCAGTGTTGTTGGTAGAGCGCCGGTCTCACTCCTGGGATCACTAAGACAATTAAACAGGATTGTCGAAACGATGAAGCAATTTACAGGAATGTAACATAAATTTAACAAGTCCGAGGAGGATTTTATGTTGTTCCATATCATTGGTTTTAGATCAGTTCTGTTATGATTCTCACAGAATTTGCTTACATACTCTTCAATTTTATCTGAAGTGAAACCAACAATCTCGACTGTTCTATCAAAAGGAAACCGGGAGTAAAACTCATTCGCAGTAGGCCTGCTCGTTACTAAAACCGTTGCCCCTGGTAATAAGTGGCCAGAAATGAGTTTCATAAACAATGAAATCCCAGACATGCAAATATTAGGATCGTTTGGAGGCGGTAAGTTGTCTAAGCAGTCGATGTTGCCATTAAATTCATCCAAACCATCAAAAATAAGAATAATTTTTTCAGGGTGCTTTAGTATATCTTCATAAATTCTTTCAAATTCTTCATCGCTCTGTCCTGTTCCATAATGAAGAAACGTCTTAAGAGTCATGTCTCCCAATTCGTTTGAATTGAACCATCTGAATTTTAAGCAGATGGCAATTTTCATGTCACGATAGAATTTATCAACTTCATTAGCCCAATCGCGCATAATCTTTTCAGTCAAGACAGTTTTTCCTATTCCAGGGCGACCAACTGCTAGAATTTTACGAGGAAAATTTCCGTTTGTATCTTTTTCAGGATAAAATAAATCTTTTGCCTCTTTTAGATGTATAGAGTGTTGGGGAACTTGCATATAAACGTCGAATATTTCATGGCGTTCCATTCTTTCGGCAAATTCATGTTGAGCTCGTTCAGTATGAATAACAAGGTTAACATACAAATCATCTAAACCAGTTTTTGGTCCATAAATTACGTCAGTTGTACGAGAAGGTTCTAAAACTTGACGTTTGTAGAATATACATTCGGAAAAGCCTGTCAGTGCAACAGGAGGTACTGTATATCGCTTGCGTAATAGATAAACTGTTATAAACTCGGTGTCGCAACGCCATGAACCAACCATACACAATCGTCGGCAAAGACAAATCATATCCGCAAGTACTGTTAGGGCAAAACCAGAGTTTAATACAGATACGATGACCCACCATATATTTTTCTCAGTTGCACTGGAATTTTCACAAGTAATAGGTGTACTATTAGATTGATTGGCACTCACATTCTTCACATTCCTTGGTGGTAGACTACAGCCAAACTCGAAATCAAAACCACTTGGAAAAAACACTGCATACTGTAGCATAGTAAACAGTAGTCCAGAGAGGAAACGGATGAAAAGGTGTACAAAATAGAAATAGAAAACATACAAAGTTCTGTTCTGCCCTTGGTCCTCTGCTTCGTCTTCAATTTGTCGTTCGTGACGCGAGTCGATTTCCTGAACACGATTTCGGGCTGCTACTGAATAAATAACAGCGACAAAAATCGGGAACCAAATACTGAGTATGACAAAGACATAAAATGGTAGTGGGGAATTATAATTCTGTTGGTATCTTGAATAACATGCTTTGTCGACTTGCGTCTTGTATGCCATAGTACTTTCAGGCGCGACATTACAAGTAAATCTCCCAGCCTCTCTCTCATTCAACGTAACAACAATACCTGTAAATGCCACGCCACAAAGGCAGTGAATTATCGAACACAGGTATGCCAACATACTGAATGTCTTCGGCGTTAAATAATCCTTAACTGCGTCTATCATCTTGATATTTCAAAACGTCTTCCTTTGAAACGTCGCTGTGTTGTGTTTATGAAGCGCCAATGATAAAACAACTGTTTTTAATGACACATCGAGTTATTTTCAATGCATGGTTAAAGCAATATAAAGGACGAGAGAACTGCATGGGGAGCTCTTGTGTTTCTGACATTGTATTAAGTTAATTAAAGATGGTTTGTTATTGAATATTACTCCAGACGAAGGCTTTCGCTCGAAATGTCGAAATTCTCCTTATATTTTTCAGGTAGTTGCATTCCTACTTGCCAAAACTTGTTATTGTTGGCACTACCTACACTGGTACAGACAGTCCAAGTATTTAAATATGGTTTGTTTTGAATACTAAATGATAGATTAGACTAGAAAATACAGAATGTTTCACACTTTCGCCAAGGTAACTTTGCAAGCGAAGCCCATGCGACTCATGTTCAATAATAAAGCTATAAATAATTTCGTGGCTAGAATAATTTTATATGAATTCTATTTGATATAAAATTTGTATAAATTCTGCACTTCAATAAAACGCTTATATAATTTACAAATGTACAACCATCAAGCGGATAAAACGTATTTTTGTCAGTATTGAAGTAATTACAGCAACAAGCCCTAAAATGTAGCAGATAAACATTTTAAATTAATATTTAGCAACGATCCAGTTCAACTATTAAAATGAGGTTTAAGGCGTTTGTTTCAGCCTGGTTCATATAGTATAACCGCAATTGAGAAGTTATTTATTTCGCTTAGACGGGCTAGTTATATGGATCCATTTACAAACTGAAGTGTCTTTAATAATTTCGCCAACTGTTTTTGATAGAACATCATGTTATTTTCGATGACAATGCAAGGTTAAAGCATTGTGGCCCCCTGCTCGGCCACTGCAAGCAGGAAAAAATAGCATTATAAAAGATCCTTTATTTTCTGGTATTGACATTGTATATTAACTTATATTAAAAATAACTTATAATAAATGAGTCTAGATATTCCACCAAGTCTTCGACTCCACGATAAAAATGTTTCACATATTTCTACCCATGACGGTTATAATATAGCGCAAAGCTGTTTAGTTTCAGTAGAAGTATCAAATATAGTTACAACTAGAAGTTACTATCGCAAGGAAAATGCTGCCTCACCACCAAGGGATGGCACCATGCGCAATTTGCTGAATAAGGGGCTGTTTATACGATCCGGCTTCGCCGGGACGAGATATGAGCACAGATGAAGTATATTCTTACTTAATCTACTAGAAAATACATGCATGCAGAAACCCTCGCTTTGCTGACAAAACCATTGTATTTTCCGAACATGAAGTATCTAAGTTGTCATGGTAACACGATATTTTTTTAAGAATATTCTTACAAATGAAAAATCGCCTATAAATATCACTTTTATTCACAAAATTATTAATTTCCCAACATATATCTGTTAGGTATGTTATTATACGTAATATAAGCCTCGATTTAAGGTAAAATTCAACCACAAACGCTTCACAAAGCGTTTTAAAGTCATTCGAGTGTTCTTTAATATAAAACTAAACTGCATTTTAAAATGGCTTTATCGATAAACTTTGAGTTAGCAATAAAATGGTCTAACATTCTCGCTGGCAAATACCTTTGCTTTCTTATTTATTAAAAAAAAATTCAATATAATAAAAAAAGGGAATCAATACTAAAGATACACTGAAATTATATGCTGTAAAGGCCGTCGGGTTTTAAATCCATTATAAAATCAATATTTAAAACAAACTTACCTTCGTTAACGTCGACTCCCTTCTTTTCGCCGATTCTTTCGCAGTTCCATTCTCAGAGAGCTTTTGAAATTTACAAAATCTTGTAAAAATGCGAGCAAAAATGAAATATATTTGCAAGAAATTTATCAATCATCAAATCAACTCAAGAAATGTTTGCTATTTCGCTGTCGTCATGCAGTCGTTATAATGCTAACTTTAAATTGGACCAATCAGTGTCCGCTATTCGTGACAGTCCGCCATATTTTTGAGATCAGTGAGGATGACCACCCACCCAACACCGTTGGTGACCCACGCCCGCGATATTTGATGAACTTTAGACTCCGCTAATGCTTTCGTTTCCCCGGGTGTAAATAGCCGGGGGGAATTAGTACCCTCGCACGGCGCTTCGCGCCGTCGGCTCAGGGATGATACGAGGCAGGATGATTTCGATGTATTGAAGTGAGTCACAGTGCACAATTCAGCAAAAAACATTATTTTTCTACAGATAGATTATAGTTAACTGTAAACGAAAGGTTGTTCAAGCAGTAATTATAATCTTCGTGAACTGCAAGATCTTCTCTACAATATTTGAGTTCTGTTAACAAGCATTTGAACTTTTGTTTAATATAGTGACTTATTCCAATACATCAAAAATCATCCCACCTTCCATCATGTAAACAGGAAAAGTCGAAAGGTCAAGTAATGTATATGAATACAATGCTTACTAGAAAATACATGCATGCAGAAACCCTCGCCTTGCTGACAAAACCATTGTATTTTTCGAACATGAAGTATCTAGAGCAGTTGTCATGGTAACACGATAATTTTTTAAGAATATTCTTACAAATCTTTTAAAAATATCACTTTTAATTACAAAATTATCAATTTCCCAACATATATATGTTAGGTATGTTATTATACGTAATATAGGGTTTCAATTTAAGATAAAATTCAACCACAAACGCTTCGCAAAACGTTTTAAAGTGTTCTTTATAAAACTAAACAGCCTTTTATAATTAAATGGATTTATCGATAAACTTTGAGTTTGCAATAAAATGATTTCAAATTCTCGCTTGCAAATAACTTTGCTTTCTTTTTTATTTAAAAAATTCAATATAATAAAAAAGGGAATCAATATTAAAGATACACTGATATTATATGCTGTCTTGTTTAGTTGTTTCATATACGCAAAGGCCGTCGGGTTTTAAACCATTATAAAATCAGTATTTAAAACAAACTTACCTTCGTTAACGTCGGCTCCCTTCTGTTAGCCGATTCTTTCATCCTTTCTTTATGAGAAAACTTTTGAAATTTACAAAATCTTGCAAAAATGCGAGCAAAAAAATTATCAATCATCAAATCAAGAAATGTTTGCTATTTCGCTGTCGTCATGCAGTCGTTATAATGCAAATTTTAAATTGGACCAATCAGTGTCCGCTATTCATGACAGTCCGCCATATATTTGAGATCAGTGAGGATGACCACCCACGGTTGGTCACCCACGCCCGCGATATTTGATGAACTTTTGACTCCGCTAATGCTTTCGTTTCCCCGGGTGTAAATAGCCGGGGGGAATTAGTACCCTCGCACGGCGCTTCGCGCCGTCGGCTCGGGGATAACTTCTTGCTTTTGTATGTATGATTATAACATTGTCAGTCATGGTGAAGCTGACATAGCAACAGGTCATGCTGTGCAAGCTTTTAATGATTTGCATTATTCAAATAGATGCAGGTTTATTGGCATGGCATGACCAGTTGCCATGGTAGCTAGCTTGCCACTGAATACTGTACAAAATCATATTATACATGCAGTATATAAACGATAATAATACTTGATGAATCATTGGACATGTAGAATTTAATAATAATTCCATATATAGAAATATTAAGTCAGTTTTGCCCAATTAATATTATCGTTTTAATGCAATAATGACACCTTCAAGGCTACCCTTATATTTGCAAAACAACTGAACAATCTGCTGCAGATGCTTGATGGAGAGTGTTTCAGCCAGGGCTGAAATTTCAGCCTGGTTTGAGCTGCCGTTTAAATGGTTTTATTTTGCTCATCTTTGAATACTTTAGGGACGGACCATTCGATTTTTCATGGGGGGGGGGGGGG